AATATATATAAAATATAAAAAATTAATAAAAATTGATAAGCTAAGTTAGTTTAAAGTTCAGGTAGTGAAAGTTAAATAAATAAAAAAAACAGAAAAATATAGGAAAATGTACATATTGAAATTAAATAAAAATAAATAAGAAAAGTAAGTTTTAAAGTAACGTAATGTAAGTTAGATTTTTTTTTTAAATCAGAAAAATAGAAAAACAATATATAAAAATTAAATAAATATAAATTATCTAAGTTAGTTTAAAGTTCCTGTAGTAAAGTTAAAGTAAGTTAGGGTTAGTCCTGTATCTCAGTCTCTACCTGCCAATAAAAACACTTTTTATTGATTATTTCTTTAGCATTTATTTCTTTTTCCATCTCTCTTCTAGAAGTCATTTGTTTTCTTGCTATGTGTAATTATCTGCAGTATTTATTAAGGAGTTATCGTAGGTTTTTGGAACCAATTCTAGGAATTACAGAGTATTCTGATGGAAGATTTGAACCAACATACCAATATTTAACATAATAATTTGGTCCTGGAAACAGTTAGACTCCTCTTAGAGGTTTTTCTGTACTCTGAAAGCTGAAAGCATCTGTAAGTGCACCATTAGAAGCCCCCCCCCCCTCAGATTTCTCCCCTCACTCTTGTTTTGTGTCATTGGAGGGAGGCTGCCTCCTCCCTGAGGCGTAAAGCATCTTGTTGTCTTTGCATTCTGCTTTATTTTTATATCTGTTAGCATTTCTGTGGAAGCTCAGGCAGAATTCAGCTAAGCTCTTCTTCAGATATTGATCATTTATCTGTTGTCTGGCAGTTGTCACTTAAGAGTATTGAAGAGTTCTTGAGCTAAATTGATGAAATCCTGGATTTTGTTAGGAAGGAGCCATCCACCAAAACACAAGCTAACGTTTGCCTTCATTCAGATCCAGATTTAAACAGCCTGTCATATTCACAAAATAACATTTCATTTTGGAAAGATTTATTGATATCAAATAGCTTTCTTGATTTTTTTTTTCCTCCTGTAACAATGCATTAAAGTAAACTGATAATACATTTAAAAATGATCAGATATTCATTAGAAATTGGAAAAAACCTGCTGTTGTAGTAGCAGAAATCCCTGTTTTTTAAGGAAATTTGTCCAAAAACGGCACAAACAAAGTGCGAAATGAGACGTGCACGAGCCTGCTGTGCACACACCTCCAGACGGGCATTATTGACCTTTTTAAAAACTGTAAAAGACATTAAGCAAAGTGTTTTATCACATCTTTGAGTGCTCCATAAACCTGTTTAATTAGGCTGCAGCTTTATTTCTGGGTAACGCTAACCATCTGGTGATCCCACCTTTTGAACTTGTCCTTATTTGTCGTTTTATTTCTTTGGGATTGTCTTTTGAGGGCGACTCAGACTGTTAAGTCACGTTAGCAAAGAACAGACGCAGAGTTTAAGTCCTCGCCCGGATGATGAGATGCAGCTCTCTCAGAACAGATTACATTTAGATTGACAGTCTGCAGAAAAGCAAATTAAAAGTGGTCAACCGAATACCCTCCAGCAAATATGCATCCAATTAGCATAAATCCAACCATAGCATGAGCTGTTTTAGTGTAGAAATCAACATATATAATAATGAGAATACATCATTATCTGAATGCAATAATATAAATCAATCGAAAGCTATTTAAAGCACAATAATTCAGGATGAATCAGAGGTTGAGACATGATCCCCATTTCTGAAATGATCCGTCAGGATTTGAGCCGTTTAAAAAGGTCTGATCACCAGAAATAAGCTTTAAAATATGAACAAAAATCACTGGATTTTACTAGCCGAGATCAAATGATGATAGAAAGAAATTAAATCAATCTGACATTACTGTTTAATATTCCCTGAAATCCAAATAATCAATGATATGGTCACTTATGATGTCATGATTCTGGTTTGTGAGTTATTTGTTGTTCCATCTAAAACATGAATGTTTGGAAGAGGAAAGTTTGAATATATTTACATATATGAAGTACAGCAGAACCTAAACATACGAATTTTCCAACATCCGAAGTGAAATTTTATCAAATATTTGACACCCAAAGTAAATTTCTAACATACGACGTCAAAGTCATAGAAAAAATAAAAAATAAAATAAAATTGAATAGAAATAAATAGGCTAAGTTAGTTTTCAGTAAACGTAATACAAGTTAGATTTTTTTAAATCAGAAAAATAGAAAAAATGAATCAAAATTAAATTAAAATAAATAAGTTAGTTTAAAGTTCCTGTAGTAAAGTCAGAGTAAGTTAGGGTTGGTCCTGTATCTCAGTCTCTACCTGCCAATAAAATCCCTTTTTATTGATTATTTCTTTATCATTTATTTCTTTTTCCATCTCTCTTCTAGGAGTCATTTGTTTTCTTGCTATGTGTAATTATCTGCAGTATTTATTAAGGAGTTATCGTAGGTTTTTGGAACCAATTCTAGGAATTACAGAGTATTCTGATGGAAGATTTGCATAAATCACAAACTAAAGACTCTTTGATTGCTCAAAAATTAGATTTAGATCATGTTTTCAAATAAACATGTTGTAAATTTCATGCACATTTCTCACAAAACCTCCGATAGTCTCTTGAATCTGCTCTGTTTCAGAAAACTATAGCTGGCTCTTCAGCTCTCAGTTTGCTGATTGACAGTCTGATATCAGTTTTTTATGTCCTGAGCTTCACAATTAAACGATTTCATGTAGTTTTCAGGGCTCAGAGCCGACAAAACAGACAAAAATCACATGTAAAATTGCTCATGAACTGCTGTGGTGTTTGTAATTTAAAGTCTCAGAACTCTGAAACATGAAACTGATATCAGGGTATTTTATTTTTTGTAAGTTTTGGATAATTTCCTGCGAAGGTTTAAAGGAAAATTGCTTAAGATAACTGCTGCACTTTGGATTGTCTTCTGGACAAACTGTGTTATAAAGTTGTAGTATATGTCTTATAAAGTTATAAATCTGTTGCTTCTCTTCTAAACTGGATAAAACCAGGCAGATTTACGTCGTTAAAATGAAGTTTGGGTCACGTTTACATGTTGAAACAAGAAGAAACAAACAGCCAATCGGAGAGGAGCAGATAAGGTTTTAGTTTGGGTCTTTAAATTAAATATATAAGCTCTTAATAGAAGATGCAGGCAACTGGAAACCGTACATTTACAGATGTTAGTTTAGTATCTTTAAGGTATTTTATTCAGGCAGTTCCTTGAAACTGATTAAGAATTTAAATGACTCACTTTGAAGTTAAATAGTTTAATTTTTCTGAGGGGAAAAGCCAACTAAAACACGAATTATGCGTCTAATTTGTGCTTCACGGGCACCTAAAAGCAGCATTTTGTGCTTAAACCGTCACCCATCAGGTCCTCCGTCCAGGAGCTGTTTTTTTTTACTGAATCCTGTTAGATTACGTAACTTAGCTGTTTATTCCTTTTCCTCCGCATCGACCCTGTCAGGGAGCCCGTTTTAAGGAGCAGACGAGCTGGTCTCTGGGTTTTGAGCCTGTTTTTTGGGTTTTGCTCCACATCTGGCAGCAGCTGGCTGCGTCCTGTTTCCTCTCTCTGCTCCACAGACGGAGAACCCTCCCGTTCAGGGCTGGGAGCGGGTAGATTCTTTAGGTTTGACCCGGTTCAGTCCGGGATGCAAACAGATGTGTGGGCAGATGTGGGATAGCATGTATGCTAGCTGCAGCTAAAGGCGAAAAAGGCTGTTAAAGGAACAAAATGTTCAAACTTTGAGTCTGACTGGAGCTCAGACACCTTTTCCTGTGTTCCCAACCACAGAAAGGACCACCTCTTACTGGCCTTTGGTTGGTTTTAAATGAATTTTGTTTAAATTTGTGAAGGCATTCACAAGATTTTCAGTGTTTTAGGACATGAATCGTCCTTTGTGGCAGTTTTTAACAGACTAACTGAGGTTTGGAAACACTTAAAGCTGCTGTTTGAAGGCTAAAGTGTCTGTAAATTGATGGAGATGAAGTCTTTTTTTCAGATTTGTGAAGCTTTAGACGCATATTGATTTAAATCATTATAAAACATAAATATAGGGATATAATTACATGCCTCCCTCTTGTTCCAAAAGCACTTAGTCTGGTTTCAGACCAGTTTCTTGACTAAAAGATCTGGTTCGATCTTTTCCAGTTTGTTATCTGGGAAAAGGAAAACAGGATTTAATCAGAATAACACGGTCGATTAGAGAGAAAAAGCCTGAGACCGCCCGTCCTGAGGATCCCGGCCATTAGGGCTAAACGGCTCTCGGATATTTGGATGCAGCTGTTGGGTTTTACTGCTCTGCAGCTTTTATCTGCATCG